TGTCAAAGGCCCTAAAATCTGGAACACCCTACCTGAAAACTCTAGAACTGCAGACACATTCATCACCTTCAAAACTACCATTAGAAAACATCTTATCTCCCTGATACACCCCGTCAACTAATTACACGAATACCACCTGGTGGTTCACACTTACACTCACTCACCCATTTGACCATAAACAGAAATATCAATCTCAATCTTAAAATAATGAATCCTAACTAGTCATAAGTTGGCCTGTGATTCTCCAATACTGAAACCATGTATTGTGCCAAAACAAAAGCATTCACATTGCTAAACTCACAAACTAGTATTTAGTCACTTAGCCATAATACCAACTTACCTCATAATTTGTAATATTTTGAAGTTAAGAATTATTCTAAGTCTGCCCGAAATGCCTAGCCATGCTAGGTGTTTTAGTGGTACACTCTGTAATTAGTATTTTACTACATGTAAACCACACAATAACCAAATTCTGTAAACTCAGCATTGTAATCCTTATAGAGAATAAACTTTGAATTTGAATTTGAATTTGAAAGTTAATACAGATGTTCCTCATTGTATGTGTTAAATGTGTTCCAGGCCTGTGGCATCTGTAGCAATTTCAACCATGTTATTAAAACTTAACTCTTCAATATAGAAATCTTCATTATGCTTTGCAAGCTGCGCTAATTGCATAAGTGAGCTGTATAGCATACAGGGAATTACTGGCGAAAATGGGACATCGCATAAGAGTGAATCTGTATATAGCGAACCTGCATAAAGCAAGGATTACTGTATGTAATATACTCAGGTGCATCAGAATGGCTAAATTATTAGTTAAAACACCTTTGTATGGCTTATGAAATGTGCCTTGCTAGTAAAATTAAAATAATGAGTTCATCGTAACATTGTAAGCAGTAGAGTATAAACCTTGGTAATTAATACAGACAAATTGGTTTAAAAAGACACATGAGCAAACACTAGGACATATTTATGAGAAAATGTATTGGTTGTAGGGCTTTGATCACTTCTAATCAAGGTCTCAAGACCTAAAGGTTTTCTATTAAATATGTCCTAGTGTTTCCTCATGTTTTTTTTTTTTTTCAACAAGTCGGTCGTCTCCCACCGAGGCAGGGTGACCCAAAAAGAAAGAAAATCCCCAAAAAGAAAATACTTTCATCATCATTCAACACTTTCACCTCACTCACACATAATCACTGTTTTTGCAGAGGTGCTCAGAACACAACAGTTTAGAAGCATATACGTATAAAGATACACAACATATCCCTCCAAACTGCTAATATCCCAAAACTCCTCCTTTAGAGTGCAGGCATTGTACTTCCCATTTCCAGGACTCAAGTCCGGCTATATAAAAATAACCGGTTTCCCTGAATCCCTTCACTAAATATTACCCTGCTCACACTCCAACAGATCGTCAGGTCCCAAATACCATTCATCTCCATTCACTCCTATCGAACACGCTCATGCACGCCTTCTGGAAGTCCAAGCCCCTCGCCCACAAAACCTCCCTTACCCCTTCCTTCCAACCTTTTCGAGGATGACCCCTACCCCGCCTTCCTTCTCCTACAGATTTAAATGCTCTCCATGTCATTCTCCTTTGATCCATTCTCTCTAATTGACCAAACCACCTCAACAACCCCTCTTCAGCCCTCTGACTAATACTTTTATTAACTCCACACCTTTTCCTAATTTCCACACTCCGAATTTTCTGCATAATATTTACACCACACATTGCCCTTAGACAGGACATCTCCACTGCCTCTGACTGCCTCCTCGCTGCTGCCTTCACAACCCAAGCTTCACACCCATATAAGAGTGTTGGTACTACTATACTTTCATACATTCCCTTCTTTGCCTCTGTAGATAACGTTTTTTGCCTCCACATATACCTCAACGCACCACTCACCTTTTTTCCTTCATCAATTCTATGATTAACCTCATCCTTCGTAAATCCATCCGCCGACACGTCAACTCCCAAGTATCTGAAAACATTTACTTCTTCCATACTCCTCCTCCCCAATTTGATATCCAATTTTTCTTTATCTAAATCATTTGATACCCTCATCACCTTACTCTTTTCTATGTTCACTTTCAACTTTCTACCTTTACACACACTCCCAAACTCATCCACTAACCTTTGCAATTTTTCTTTAGAATCTTTTTTAAATCAAGCAGTAGAGTATTTAGCCTGACATAAGATGATGTATATAGCTTTGCCATAGTCTAGGTCATTTAGGTGTCCCGTAGCTCGATTGGTAGCACATTCATATCACACACTGAGGTCTGAAGGTCGACTCCCAGTACAGTAGGAAACATTAGGATATATTTCTTTAAGACACCTGCTGTCCATGTTTACCTATCAGTAAAATAGGTACCTGGGTGTTAGTTAACTGGTGTGTGTCGCATCCTGGGGACAAAATTGACCTAATTTGCCTGAAATGCTCTGCATAACAAGGGGCTTTATATACAGTAGTATGTCATTGATGTCAGCTATGGTCTATATACCTTATACATGTACTTGTAGAAATAAAGATAATTATTATTCCACTTTTATATCACTCATATTGAAACATTTTATGGATATCCATGTGGTTTATTGAGAACTGGAGCTTCCATCTGTAACCTTGCTCTAGTTTCTTTTATAAAGAACATAACCGATGTATGTATATGGAGCACATTTTTGTAGTTGGTGAACATTGTGGAGAAATAATATGCTTCATACAAATATTAATTATGAATCCTGTGTGTCCTAAGGTGCTTGTTGGCAATGAGCCTGACATGGTCTCAGTTGTAATTATTGGGCAATATGAATTTAATTCTAAAATCTGCTGCTTTCCTCCATAAAATGATTAAGAGAATACAAAAACAATACACAAATAATCTGCCCACATGTGCAGATTATTTGTGTATTGTTCCAGTCATGGTATTGTGCCTTTTTATTCTCAGTGCAAGAATACTTAAATGTCTCCATGAGTGGAAAGAAGATTAGTTTGTTAAAAATATGTCATAGGAAGACAGAATTAGGAAGAAGACTTTGTCTGGATTATTGACCACATAGCCTGGTGGCTAAAGCTCCCGCTTCACACACGGAGGGCCCGGGTTCGATTCCCGGCGGGTGGAAACATTTCGACACGTTTCCTTACACCTGTTGTCCTGTTCACCTAGCAGCAAATAGGTACCTGGGTGTTAGTCGACTGGTGTGGGTCGCATCCTGGGGGACAAGATTAAGGACCCTAATGGAAATAAGTTAGACAGTCCTCGATGACGAACTGACTTTCTTGGGTTTTCCTGGGTGGCTAACCCTCCGGGGTTAAAAATCCGAACGAAATCTTATCTTATCTTATTACTGGCTGAATAGTAGGTTCCTATTTACTACTAGGTGAATAGTTGGTATAAGGCATCATAATAAATACTGTACAGTTTGTCTCTTTGCTCTCCATATCAACTATTGACATATGAAATATATGGCAAGATAACTTTTATACTGACAAATTAGAATCTTTATTTTCCGGTCATTTCCTTTATTCAGTTACAAATGTTCTCATGAAATTGCTGACAATATTACTGCCATTCAAATGTTGTTCCTGGCCAAGTAATAAAGTCATTTGTGGTTGTGGTAAAAATTTGAGAAAGATTAATCTTTTTGAAGAGGTGGACACTTGTCAGTTTATCATTGAGAACAATACCATTTACCCTCGAGTGGCAGAGGTGTCAGACTTTGGAGTAAGGCAAAGGATACATACAGTATGTTGAATCAGGATAAAGAAGTGGAAACTTGTGAATCACATCACAAACACAGCTTATTGATTCAGTAGAGTGTTTGGGATTCAAACCCATGGTCTGAGATTACTAGCCCATTACCTTAGTTCACCACAACACACCACAGTGGTTGGGATTAAAGTCCCATTAAACTAAGTGGACAGACTGGCAGTCACAGACCGATGATTCAGATCCCGACCACTGAACTGTTACATTCATTCATGAATTTTCAGCACACATCAAATTAAATATTAATGAATATATAGGTGTATTTAATGTTCTCTATGAAATACCTTCCTGTAATTCTGCATAGAATCCTCTTTTTGATACAGTTTATAGCTTAATGTACAGATAAAAATATATTACTATGAGTTTACTTATATGAACATTTGCTATTGGAATTTGTGTTCTCTTTAACCATATGAGATTTTTTTACTTAAGTGTGAAGAATGACAAAATATTATTTGTAGAAATTTTGTTGTTTCTAGAAAGTTTTTAATGCTTCTTTCTTGAAAAAAATCAATTAATACATGTGCTAGTTTGACATCATTACTTAGATACACAATCATTACCTTGAGTGTGTTAGTTGTGTAGCACATTGTATAGCTATTGTCATCATTTAGAGAACACAGCAACCACAGATCATATCAGCAGAATAACACTGCCAGTTAGTAGAGACAATTGATACTCAGGCATCTTCTGTTGTGTTTATCACACTCTCTTACACTCATGGTATTGTAACCTCCATATGAGCTTACATTTGTTAGCCCTATTTTCTTACACAAATTGATCAGTTTTCTTAAATTAACTCTGTTTTGTTCACATAATTTTCATTCTTTACTTTTTCTTACTACATAAATTTTTTATACTGTATTTACTCTTACTTACAGCAGACTTTCTTATACTGTGTACCATCCCTATTTTCTCTAATACAGTATTTATTACCCAGACACCTGGTTATGTTGTGTTACACGAGAGTTCCCCTCTAGTGTGTTATAAGCCCTTTTCTATTTACCACTTCAGTACACCTGATAAAGTTTCTGCTTGCTGGCGTGTGCAGGTAGTGCAGATCTAGTAGCTTGTACTTACCAATATGTGGTTACTGGGATCGAGTTCTAGGTCCTGGCCCCATGCTCGTGTCTTTGTTCCAGCCAAGTTTTTATGTGCTTTTGTGCTTATAAATGCATGCATGTTATAAGTGTGTATGATTGGTGGAGCTTACTTGGTGATCACCACAACAGCGGCGCCCATCAACTCTCTGCAGCAGTTTAGAGTCATCACTCAAGATGCTGGAAGGGCAGACTTCGCAGTGTCCATCACGTCGCCCTCGGGTATGAGAGTACGTGCTCATGTTGTGCCTACTCACGAGGGTTACCTGGTAAATTTCACTCCGACGGAGCTGGGAGAGTATTTGCTGTCCATCCAGTTTGGTGGTCAACCTATCAGCTCAGCGCCATACAGATTTACCTGCACACCTGGTGGTGATGCATCGGCAGTCCGGGCATGGGGGCCAGGACTCGAGGGGGGCATAGTATGCCGTCCAGCAGAGTTTGTCATAGACACCCGAGAAGCTGGTCAGGGTGGCCTGGGAGTGACGGTTGAGGGCCCTTGCGAAGCAGCCATAAATTGCAGAGACAATGGTGATGGAACGTGTGCCGTGGCGTATCTCCCCACCGAAGCCGGACCATATACCATCAACATCACCTTCAACGAGCGACACATCCATGGTTCTCCATTCCATGCTCTCATCGCACACGACCAAGATCTCAAACAGATCAGAGTCACAGGCAACGGCATCCAGCCTCATGGTACTCACTCCTTTGTGCTGCTGTGTGATGTATGTTGTACGTTCTGTAGACTCTTTATGTTGGCACATGTGATTCTTCAGCATGAGAATCAAGAGTAGATTTTACAGAATCAATTATTTTCCTTACTACCTGTAATTAATTTTGTTAGTAAAAGATAATCTTGCATGCATTTTATGTGGTTAAATTTGCAGGACTAGCAAGTATTTTATGTGGCCATGTTGGGCTACCATACAGTGTGACCCTGAGAAGGGTGTGTTGTGTAGTGACTCACACTTAATTCATGTATAGTGTTGTATATGTTGTTACTGCAAATTTACACAGTGGGGCTGAATAATGTTATCGTTTTTTTAGTTACAAAATAACTATTAGTGTTATGCTGTAATCCACATGATTTTAATAATGTTAACCTTTGTTCTTGTTGTGTTGAAGGTTGGTACAGCTCAAGCAGCTGTATAGACTCTACTCTCTGACTGATTTATTACATTCAAATTAGTTTTTTGGGTATGCTTCATGTTTTATATAAAATATGATAGAACATTACATGACATTCACTGATTGATTTTTTATTAATGTTTTTTGTTTGTTGTGTGGGTTAATATCCAAATAATAAAACTTTCTTTTAAGATATTGTATAACTTTTAAGATATTGTGTAATTACCTGTTTTTGTTTGTAGGTGGTAAGCTCTAGCTCTAGGCCTTATGTCTGTTGTATCTTTTGAACTTCTGTATGAGAGGACTTGTACTGCCTCGCTTCCCATGTCATTTTGCTTCTTTATCACCTCATGTTATAGAAATGCTTCTTGTAAATAACTGTTTCTCAACTGGATTAAAATAATTTACGTTTTATTCCCTGGAGTATTTTTTATGTCAGGATTATATCCCCCTCTGTCTTTGTCTTTGTTCTATTGGACAAAATGAATTTAATAACTTTGTTTGAATATTTTCAGTAATTGTAACTGCATATTGATGTTCATAAGAAATTTATTGGTTCAAAATGCCTTGTTCGTAAGTGCAGATCTTTCAAGAAACAGAAGACTTAGATTATATTTCAGATTGATTTATTTTTTTTTTACACAGGGTTTAACAAGGTTAGGTTAAGGATTCCTAACTTTATTGGCAAGTTAAGAGATGTTACCTACATCAGCTCATTTGAAAGCATTTTTATCGTTATGAAACATACAGGGCTTCTTGTTAGTCGACTTCTTTTATAATACAATATTGATATTATATTTTCCACTTTTCTGTCTTCTGGCAATTCACATCCCTAATGATTCATCAAAGTTCTGCCCAAGAGGCTTGCACAGTGCTTCTGATCCTTCTCTAAATATCCTTGGAGATATTTTACTAGGTTCTGATTCTCTTTAAGTTGAAAGTTCTGATAGTCTGTTTCAGTGCTGGAGTTTTTTTTTTTTTTGTAGTGCTTGTAGGTGCTGTATGACTCCTATGGGTTTAGTGCTTCCCCAATGAATATAAGTAATAATTCTGTTAATAGTGTGGTAGTGTGAATGATGGTGAAAGTGTTTCTTTTCGGGTCACCCTGCCTCGGTGGGAGATGGCCAGCGTGTTAAAAAAAAATCTTTTGGTTTGTCCTTTCTTCCTATTATAGTCTCACAAGGATGGTGATATTAAAATGCTCTTGAGTTTTACAGTGGACCCCCGCTTAACGATCACCTCCAAATGCGGCCAATTATGTAAGTGTATTTATGTAAGTGCGTTTGTACGTGTATGTTTGGGGGTCTGAAATGGACTAATCTACTTCACAATATTCCTTATGGGAAAAAATTCGGTCAGTACTGGCACCTGAACATACTACTGGAATGAAAAAAGTTCGTTAACCGGGGGTCCACTGTATTTTGAGTTCATTGCATACTTGTCTCTGTTTTGCTGTCATCATTCTTCACTGTTATTTGCTGATCCTCTTATTATCAAGAGTTCCTCCATCTTTCTTCACTGCTATTAGTTGATCTTCTTGTTATCATGTGCACCTCCATCTCCCTGTTGTTATCAACTGATCTTCTTTCATTTTCCTTCTTCTCTGGATATAAATAGTTTTTGTTCTATTTTTATTGAGGATACTATGTTCGTTTTACACTTTTTTTGTTTCCCTTCTAATTTGTTGATAATTTTTCTTCCATCACCTGTGTGTCTCACTGTTCTCAAGTGCTGGCTTTGCCTGGCACTTTTTTCATATACAATTCCTCTCTTCCTATGTCTTATCCTCTGTCATTTTTAGTTCAATCCTGTTTAAGTTCAACTGTATTTGTCAGAATTTTTCACTTGTACATAATTGCCTTTCATGCATGTCCCTGAAATTTTCCATTTTCTCCTTTAATATTTTAATTAGATTTGTGTGAGGTATATCAATACCAATACTTGGTGATTATTTGCTCAGTTTTCTTTATATTGTATATGAATCACTAAGAAGAATACTATGCTAGGTCAAACATTGTTAGTTCATCATTTTCAGTTAATCTTGTTAGTTCTTTGACATGGGGTCATAGGAAGTGTTGCACTGTTCTATATGTACCAATCTAATTATAAATATGTATTTTAGTTTACAGGAGTGTTAGCTATAGCTCTTGGCCTCACCTCTTAATTTTTGATTGAATGACATGCAATTGCCCTGTCATACTAATTACTAATTTTTGAACCCATATACGAAATCCATTGCCATCAATGAAAAAAATATATCTTTAAACGAATAAGAGAAAATTTTAGAAAGGACTTAATTTTAAATGAGTTCTTGCTAATTGACCAGTTCCTTAATCCATTCCACTTCTTTGTCACTCTTACACTAAGGAAATGGTTTCCAAAATCCCTGTGACTATTTGGCTGTATAATTTCTAACCATGCCCCCCCCCTCTTGTTGTTGCATCCCTGAATAAAATAGTAGCCCTGTTTACCCTGTCTATCCCTATCCCTGTGTACCATGTCTATTCCCTGTAGTATTTTGTATGTTATGATCATGTGTTGGCATAGGTGTGTGCATGATAATTTTTATATCATACAGATGTCAGATTAGCAAAAGGGCTGTATTCTTTTATAGTCATTAAAGGAAAGAGAATAAGAAAAAGTGACCCTCTAATACTGTACCTCTTTCAGGCGTATTTGTTGACTCACCGACGGACTTCATGGTTGACACTCGTGCTCTTGCCAACCTCAAAAAAGAGACGAAAGGTAGCAGCAAGGGTGATGGCAAAGTTATGTGTGTCATCACGAATCCTTCAGGAACTCGAACTGATTCATTCCTCAGGCCACTCACAGATGGCACATACAAAATATCCTACACACCTTTTGAAGAAGGTATGAGTTACTAAAATAGACTTTGTTTATGCATGCATTCACTTGTCTCATATTAAGAACTTGATATAAATTTTTTAGCAAACTGGACATCTCCCACTGAGGCATTGTAACCCAAAAAAGAAACACTTTTACCATCATTCACACTATCATTATCTTGCCAGAGGTGTGCAGATACTTTAATGGAAATTCAAAATAAACTGCTTGCCTTGGGTGCAGATTTTTTTATGTTGTTTATTATTCAGTATGCTTAGTTTTTTGTTATAATATTGGTCAGGAGACATGACAGGTGTCTCCTGACTTGGGTCTTAATCATATAAATGACCCGTTTACTCGAGCACGTTTAGAAGTTGTTGTATTAATTAAATACAACTCATGTAGTGTTCTTGTAAAAGTGTTGAAATAAGTACACAAGGAATACAGTACAATCAAGCTTTTTATATTTTCCCACTTAACCTTTAAACTGTCCAAACGTAGATCTGTGTTTTTACTGCTAGCACTCCGAACATAGATCTACTTTTTTTGTACATGCTTTCAAATGTAAAAAAAAATGTAGATCTACATTCGGAACGCTAGCGGTGCAAACGTAGATCTACGTTTGGACAGTTTAAGGGTTAATGATCAGGGATTGTGAGACAAGGTTATCTTGTTATTTTACTCTCCTATGTATTTTTAAGACTGTAGGCTTTTATACTACACTGGTAGTGTGTTACAGCTTTACCTGCTTACCTTACAATATGATGCAGAGTTTTAACAAGTCTTGCTTGTTAGTGTTATTACTGGATTGCCATGGATTTGAATTCTATTCATTCCTTAACTTGATACAAGCAGGACCCGCTTATACAGCAGGTTAGGTTCTGGGCCGCTGCTGTAAAGCCAAAATCACTGTTAAGTGAAAAATAGCATTTTTTCACTTTTAAATGCATGTAAAAACTTGATAGCATGTTTACACTATCATAGGCCTAAAAAAATGCATATACAGTACATACATTAATTATTCTAAAATAATTTCATACTTAGCTTAGAGTGAGTGGCAAATATATTTATTGTAGGAAACCTAAATAAATGACGAATAGGTATAATTAAAAGCCACTGCATTAGTGAAATGCTGTAAATTGAAGCTCTGGAAGTGAGCCCTGTCTGCACTGGATTGCCATGCATTTGAATTCTCTTCATTCCTTGACTTGATACTTTATGTTAGGTAGCATAAAAATATTACTTCAAAAAATAATACTTTTGGGGTGTGAGCAAGGTAATATCTATAAGGAGATTCTGAGAAACCAGTTAGCCAAATTTGAGTTGTAGAGATGGGAAGTATAATGCTTTCACTTTGAAGGATAAGTGGGGATGTTCCAGCAGATATTCAGTGTATCAAAAAAGCACAAATGATCACTCAGTTTTGTGTGACTGTATATAAAAAAAAACTGTGCCGAGCAGAGAGAGCTTACAGCCGATATAATAATAATATCAATTACAGTAGCTATGAGTTATTGTCAGAATAAAAAGTGGATGATCAGTGTGAGTTTTTATGACTTTTTGTTCTTGAGTAAGTATTATTTTTTATTTTTTTAATTAATCTTTTTCAGTCTTCTTAAGTTTGCTTATTGACTGGTCATTGTATATAAATTTAGTGTGATAAAGTAAAATTATTAGGCTATATAGCTCAAGAAAATCTTAAAACTGAGCATAAATTATCAACACTACTGTGAAACTTGAGAGTTTATTGTCATACTTGAGAGTTTATTGTCATACTTGAGAGTTTATTGTCATACTTGAGAGTTTATTGTCATACTTGAGAGTTTATTGTCATACTTGAGAGTTTATTGTCATACTTGAGAGTTTATTGTCATACTTGAACACAACAATTAAGGGGCACTTGTGAATTTCTATTTTTATATATTTTACAATAATTTCCTTAGTTAACAGTTCATTTGAAATTGTCACATTTTCCTGCAGGTCGTCACACCATTGATTTGCTGTACGATGGCGTCCCTGTGCCTGGTTCTCCCTTCACGGTCAATGTTCGACGAGGCTGTGACCCCAACAAGTGCCAAGCATTTGGTCCTGGGCTTGACCACGGCTTTGTCAATGAAGTCAACACTTTTACAGTTGAGACTAAAGGTAATAAAGAAGTACATAAGTGGAGAAGAATTGTTTCTCTGTAAGTCGTGCGTGTTGTAAGAGGCGACTAAAATGCCAGGAGCAAGGGGCTAGTAACCCTATCTTCTGTATAAATTGCTAAATTTAAAAAGAAAATCTTTTGTTTTTTCTTTTTGGCCACCCTGCCTTGGTGGGATATGGCCAGTTTGTTGAAAAAAAAAAAAAGAATAATCTGACCTGGTCTTATGTGAGAAGTAAATCCTTCAACTTGCTTTAGATTTCTTACATCACTATGTTTCTATTTTCTCATTTAGCTTTTGTTCTTTTCTCAAATTAAACAAAAACTATTCTTTTGCTCTTTTGCTGTGTAATGTGTATACATATTTAGCATAATATTAGTTCTTGTGAGTTAAATATAAATCATCATTCTGTGTATCCTATATATGTATGTACACTACAGTTGCTCGTCAACTTTTGATGGTTTGGCTTACATTATTTTGACTTTACGATGGAGCAAAAGCAATTACATGTACTTTGGAGATAGAGATGAAACTTAAGATAATGACGCAGCATGAAGGCGACAAGGCTGTAATTTGTATTTGTTCATTTACTTTTCAATATTGGTACAGTGGTCCCTCGTTTTTCGTAATTAATCCGTTCCTGGAGCCGTTACTATAAACGAAATTTACGATTTGCGAATCAATTTTCCCCATAAGAAATAATGTAAATACAATTAATCCGTTCCTGACACCCAGAAGTATTAAAACAAAAAATTTTTTTACATGAAATATACATATAGTACATAAACAATACAATGGGAAATGATGAATGAAACATTAACAGCATAACACTTACCTTTATTGGAGATTCTTCTTAGTGTATGGGAGACTGGAGGAGGAGAGAGACTGGATTGTTTACAGTTTGGAAGGGGAATCCCCTTCCAGCAACACCTCAGGTACCAATTGCTTCTCAGGGGTTGCTTCTCTTCTCTGTTTCTTAATGCCACTAGGACCACCTTGAGAGTCACTCTAGTCCTGTCTTGCAAAGTAACTGTGGAGAGAGCTCTGTTTCTGGCGTCTCTTTAACACTTCCCTAAAATGGCCCAAGACTTTGTCACTGTACATATTTCTCACCTTCTTTACCACAGGCTTGGCACTAGGAGCTTTCTTTGGAGCCATGGTAGCTTATTTAGTAATTCCAAGCACTAAAATGAGTGGAATATTATGAAATATTTCGTAGGAGCACTTGAGGGGACCTTCACTCACTGGTAAACAATGCCAGACTGGCTGGGTAGGGAGGCCACCCCGGCTCACACCATGCGTACGCGTCCCGGACGAACTACTATTCGCAAGTCAACCTATGAAAAGCGAGTCCGTGTTTATACGAAAATACCCCTATGATTGGCGAAATTTACGATTGCCGAGAACTACGAAAAGTGAGGGACCACTGTATTTAATTAGTTGCAGTAATTATTTGTTTATTTACTTAGTAATGGTAGTTATTTATTAACTTATTTACTTAGCATATCATATTCATATTCCACATGTGATATTTTCAACTCATGATGGGTTTGTTGGAACATAACCCCATTGTAATTCGGGTTTGTTTGATGTAATGATTTTGTCATGACTCATGGCTTGTGATGACTGTAGGTGCTGGTACTGGTGGACTCGGCTTAGCTGTTGAGGGACCTTCAGAAGCCAAGATGACTTGCAAGGACAATAGAGACGGGTCGTGTACAGTGGAGTACGTGCCCCTCGAAGTTGGCGATTACGACGTCTCCATTAAATTTGCTGATCAACACATTCCAGGATCACCATTTAAGGTGATTATTAATATTGTTAATTTATTTTTAAATCAGTGGCATTCTTCCATCTAGTCAGGGTGACCCAAAGATGAAAACACATTCACCATTCAATGAATGCTGTTTTTCCCGAAATGTGATGAAATCACAAGTAGATTATCCCCCCCTTCCTCCCTTCCCTCTAGAGTGCAGTCACTGCCCTTCCCACCTCCAAGACTTGAGTCAAGCTAACCAGTTTCTCCAAATCCTTTCTTAAAAGTTACCTTACTCACATTCTAACAGTAATATACCTGGGAACCCTCTTCTCTGACTAAAGCAAACTAAAGAAAGATCACCCGTGATACACTATGAGCCAGAGGACTCTGCACCTGTTTGAGTTGAATCCAAGCCCAGACAAATATATTCAACTTTCTGACCAAAGAACATAAGAAAGGAGAAACACTGCAGCAGGCTTACTGGTCCATATGTGGCAGGTCTTTCTCAAACCCAACCCACTAACAAAAATATGCCCAACCTATTTTCAGTTGTTGAGGATTTGAGGTGGCAAAAGTTGTCATTTGCAAACAGAACTTGTTAAAGGTAAAGCTAATTAAGGTTAATAAATTAAAGGAATTTGGAATTAAAGAGAAATTAAAGGCAATTAAAGATAAAGACAATTAAAGGTACTGTACTGTAAATTCACTGGAGTGGGAAATGAGGATCTTGGAGAGTCTTATCCTTCTATTTTATAAATATTTTTCTTGAAAATCATCCAGAATTAAAAGACACTGAATGATATACTGTAGTTTCATATTGGCAAGGAACAGTATAAGTCTAAAACACACATACTGACCTTTAATTAGATTCACAAATATTACAGATCAGTTTTTCCTGCATTATATTCATCATTATATTATCAAAGAATACAATTCACCAGGTATCTGTGGACCAGAGTGTGGATGCATCACAGGTGGTAGTGTGGGGTTCAGGACTGGAAGCAGGCAAGGTACGAGCAGGTGTGCCTCTAACTTTCCACGTTGATGGTTCCAAGTCTGGCAAGGCGCCCCTAGGAGTCGACATCACAACAGAAAAAGGTCAGTTGGCGAAAATGCTGTCCAAATGCCCTGTAAAAAAATAATTTTGATTAATGTTTTTAATGGAAAAAAATAGCTTTCAGAATTACAAGGGAATGCCAATAAAACATTTTCATTTCATGACATTATGTTTTATTACAAGTTTTGATATTGTGTTTTTTAAGTTTTACAAAGCACATTCATTATCCTCTCTAATTTTGGAACACTTCTTAACACATTATAAATTATGTTTTGAATGCTCAAAGTTATTATTGATAATATTTAATTTTTTTTACCACAATGGCCATCTCCCACCAAGGTAAAAGTGACCCATAAAAGGAAACATTCATCCTTATTTCATTCAATAGCAGCATTGTCAAAAGTGCATAAACATTATAATTCAAATGAGCCTCTGAACTGTAACATCCACTCCCCTCCTTCAGAGTGCAGGCACTGTACTTCCCACCTCCAGGAGTCAAGTTGAACTAACTACCTGATGTTGGGTGAATTATTATACAAATAAAGGTCAAAATTGGACCGAAATGTCATCATAAGCTTCTCTCTCCTATGTTCAGGTTATTTGTGTAAAGATCTCCTTTGCAAGATCACCAACATCAGGCATATAGTGTTTGCTGAATGTATATTACAATGCATGTATTTTTTTTTTTTTTAACATGTCGGCCATTTCCCACCGAGGCAGGGTGACCCAAAAAGAAAGGAAAACCCATAAAGATAGAAAGAATTTGGGTAATTATATTTACCTTGTACTAAAATGTCAGAGCAATAGGAAATGCACTGCGTGTTCTTGACATAATGACTGGAAGACTATCACATAAAATTGTGAAGGGAAGTGTGAATGTTGAGCAGGATAGAACATATGAATGGGCATGGGAGGTAGGTAGGATAGGATATGTGACTTGAGTATGAAATGTGGACAAGACAAGATATGTGATTGGGGATAAGGTCAGTATGGAGTATAGGTGCTTGGCTGAACTCCCACTGGGATTTATATATTGTAATGGAGAGTTGCTGCTCCTACTTCAGTTATGCAAAACAGTACTTGAATGATGGAGAATATGTTTACTTTTTTTTTCAGGGTGGGGGGGGGAGGGACCTCTGCCATGGTGAGAGATGGCCATTGTGCTAAACTGCATTGGTCATTTCCCACTGAGGTAGGGTTACAAAAAAGGGAAAACATTCACCATCACTCATTCAGTTGCTGTTGTGCCAGGAGTATATGTGTAATTATGTGATGGTGCTCTACTTTCTTCGCTTGCACTTGTGCCGTTCTTGTAAAATCCTAACTTCTGCACCCTAAATGTTAATTGTACACAGATAACTCGCACATAAGAGAGAGGAGCTTACGACGTTTTGGTCCAACTTGAGTCACACTGTTGTGTGACTCAAGATGTTGTGTTGTGTTGTCTCAAGATGTTGAATGTGTAAGACAATGTGTTTTTTGCAGGTTCTTTGCCAAAGAGTCCAGATATCCGGGATAATGGTGATGGCACTTACGATGTGACATATGTCCCTCATTCCGAGGGTGCTATGCAGACTGCCAATATAACATGGGGAGGAAAGCCAGTACCTGGAAGGTAAGCATGAGCTCCAGCCTGCCTCACTCTCCTTAACTCACCTTAATAATCATTGTAAATAATAAAAAAAAAAACTTGAAAAATAGATTATGATTATGAGCAAGAACTCATCTCAATAATTTTATGAATGGAATTCATCAAATTGTAGAAATCATACTGTTGTTGAGCGCAAAAGTTTGCAGTGTGTTTCTAGGTGTTCTGCATCATGTTTTTCTTATCAATTTGAGAAGATATTGTTGAATATCCATGAGTTTGTTGAGGGAAGTCTGTAAATTTTAAAATTTATATATACCACTCACTCGCCCAGGACTAAATAATCAACACTCAGTATTTAACATTACCAATAATTCTCCCAATTACTTAAATCTTAAAATTTCAAGACAACATACAGTTAATTGATCATTTTGTTTGTTATACGTTGTAATGCGACAAATTTGTACAACTATGTATAATGCTTCAATATCAAAATGTTAAAATTTCATTGTTTCAAATACTCTATTGTACCTCATGTGGTAAATTGTTTACGGTAATTTTTACCACTGAACCTTTCATTGCTTGTTAATTTTAAGTTAATTTTAAGCCTGCCCATAATGCTCTGCATACAAGGGGCTTTTGGCATGTACACCCGACTACTATAATTTCTTGTACAACTATGTATCATGTGCAAATAAACTATATGAACATGAAAAGATTCCTGTGCTTACTGGTAGTATTATTCTGAAAATGTTTGAAAAAACTTTGCTGTTTAATAATCTTTTTAATGAACACTTTAATTACAAAAAGGAAGCGTTTTATAATTTTTGTTTTTTAACATGCCGGCTGTCTGAGTCAGGGTGACCTGAAAAAGAAATATTTAAACCATCATTCACACTTAACACTGCCTTGCCAGAGGCACATAGATATGACAGTTCAGATGTCATTCCAAACAGAAAATACCCCATATCCCTCCTTTAGAATGCAGGCATTGTACTTCCCACCTCCAGGACTCGAGTCTGGCTAACCAATTTCCCAAAATCCACAGATGATTTGCAGAATTTATGTAATTTTGCATTGGAAAATAATGTAGTAAATAAGCAGTAGTATAAATCTTTAAGAGGGAGAATGTTAAGGACTTTGCTGGGTAGAGCCAAGCACTACATGCACACATGATAAACTCTTACTGGAAAATAGGAATTCCTCAAATACTGGAAGTCATAACATGAAATCATTGGACATCACAACAACTGACTTATGTCAAAATTGCTCATGGAAATTGACACTTCAAATTAATTTGCCCAAAATGCTCTGCATAAGTGGCATTCTATATAGTATGTCATTGATGTCAGCTAGGTGTGTATATGTTGTACATGTACTTGTAGAAATAAAGATTATTATTAATAATCATTCTCATGTGCCATGTAAATTAATTACTGAAAAAGAGCCATTTATTCATGAAATGGGAATTAGTACAGTGATATATTTTTATACAGTGTGATGATAGATTAATGAGAACAATGTCAATTGTACACACTGTTACTAGAGAGTAGCAATAACATGATCACTCATACATGTTATAGCCACAGACTAACAACAATAGAATTAGCTACATATTCTGGTGTCACAGCACATCAAGAGCAACTCATAATTGGGGAATTTTAAAAATGTGACATTTCACAACTTTCATGGCATTACACAGTGGAATCTGAAGAAATAATCAGTTTTATTATAGTTTTCAGTATCATTATTGATAATTCAGCATTTTATCTTTGGTTGAATGTTAAGAGAATTTTCCAGAATGAAGTAATTTCAATTAGAATTGCAAGGCAAAGGTTTCAGAGAGACTTCATAAATATTCTAAATATAGGCCTGTTGGTTATTTCTAAAAAAAAAAAAAATTGTTTCTTGAGAGGCTAACATGTTTTTCACTGTGTAATACTGACATCATTTTAATATTTCATAGAGTATATACAATGATTTTAATTATTTTATGATTTTATTTATATTTTCTCTATTTTATTTGCTGAATTTCAAAAGACTATATTTTTATTATTAAAAAGGGTTTGAACTGAATCTTAACACTTTTATTAACTTTGGTCTAGCTCAGTAGGTTTCCATTAATGTCAAGATAATTTCTTAGTCTCTTCTGGCCTGCAGTCCGTTCAGATTACGCGTGAGGCCAGCATCTGCCTCAATAGTCAGCCCGCTTCGAAGGTAAACTGTAGCTGCAGCTGTTAGAGCATGGTTGTACCAGCCTTACCCTGGCACTTGTTGAGGTTGTCTTAGTTATTATGAGAACCTTAGTTAGAGCATGGTTGTACCAGCCTTACCCTGGCACTTGTTGAGGTTGTCTTAGTTATTATGAGAACCTTTGTTAGAGCATGGTTGTACCAGCCTTACCCTGGCACTTGTTGAGGTTGTCTTAGTTATTATGAGAACCTTGTTAAAGCATGGTTGTACCAGCCTTACCCTGGCACTTGTTGAGGTTGTCTTAGTTATTATGAGAACCTTTGTTAGAGCATGGTTGTACCAGCCTTACCCTGGCACTTGTTGAGGTTGTCTTAGTTATTATGAGAACCTTGTTAGAGCATGGTTGTACCAGCCTTACCCTGGCACTTGTTGAGGTTGTCTTAGTTATTATGAGAACCTTTGTTAGAGCATGGTTGTTCCAGCCTTACCCTAGCACTTGTTGAGGTTGTCTTAGTTATTATGAGAACCTTGTTAGAGCATGGTTGTACCAGCCTTACCCTGGCACTTGTTGAGGTTGTCTTAGTTATTATGAGAACCTTTGTTAGAGCATGGTTGTACCAGTCTTATCTTGGCATTTGTTGAAATTGTCTTACTCTTAGGATAATTCATGGTAGAGGCACAAGAGTCCTATTAGAGGCATGTTGTCCCATCCTTACCTTGGTATTTGTTGAGTTTATCATAGAATTATCAGAAAACTTATCCAGTTCCTTGATTGATTCATGACTAATGCACAGTTTACGTGGGAAACTTTAGTTAGTGTTTCAGTCCTCCTGGACCACTGTCAAGTCTTGAAATAGTCTAGGATGGCCTGACACATCATCCAAAGTTACCTCTGCAAATTGTGTTAGTTATGAAATGTTTCATCCGTGGTATTGTGACTTCTAAGTTTTATGATTGATTGTTTTTTGTTTTATAATTTAGTTAACCAAGGATTTCTGCCTGCTTTATTGTTTTGTTGCATTACATATACTTTTTTTTACCATTTCCCAGTTTCCAGTAGTAGGATTATTTTAGAGCTTTTGAGGATTTATGTAATTTTTTATCTACTTTTGTTAATGATTAATGGAATGAAATTTGCTTACCATTATAAGGGTTTAATGTAACCAAGATATGAAGTTATAATTTTTCAGTGACTAAATATTGATTGGATTATAGTTTCATAATTTTGGGGATATTTTTGCTCATTATATTACTTGTGAAAATTAGACAGTTTTTGGTTTGTTTTTTTGAAGAGAGTGGTGAGAGAGTACAAAAGGAGAGTGGATGATAGAGTGGGAAAGGCACTGGCACAAAATTTTAATGAAAATAAGAAAAAATTTTGGAGTGAGTTAAACAAGTTAAGAAAGCCTAGGGAACAAATGGATTTGTCAGTTAAAAACAGTGTAGGGGAGTTAATAGATGGGGAGATGGAGGTATTGGGTAGATGGCAAGAATATTTTGAGGAACTTTTAAATGTCGACGAAGAAAGGGAGGCGGTAATTTCATGCACTGGCCAGGGAGGTATACCATCTTTTAGGAGTGAAGAAGAGCAGGATACGAGTGTGGGGGAGGTGCATGAGGCATTACGTAGAATGAAAGGGGGTAAAGCAGATGGAACTGATGGGATCATGACAGAAATGTTAAAAAGCAGGGGGGGGATGTAGTGTTGGAGTGGTTGGTACTTTTGTCAAAAGAGATTGTAAAAATTATAGAGGAATAAGTTTACTGAGAATACCAGGAAAAGTGTACGGTAGGGTTATTATTGAAAGAATTAGAGGTAAGACAGAATGTAGGATTGTGGATGAGCAAGGAGGTTTTAGAGTGGGTAGGAGATGTGTAGATCAAGTGTTTACATTGAAGCATATATGTGAACAGTATTTAGATAAAGGTAGGGAAGTTTTTATTGCATTTATGGATTTAGAAAAGGCATATGATATAGTGGATAGGAGAGCAATGTGGCAGATGTTGCAAGTATATGGAATAGGTGGTAAGTTACTAAATGCTGTAAAGAGTTTTTATAAGGATAGTGAGGCTCAGGTTAGGGTGTGTAGAAGAGAGGGAGACTACTTCCCGGTAAAAGTAGATCTTAGACAGGGATGTGTAATGTCACCATGGTTGTTTAATATATTTATAGATGGGGTTGTAAAAGAAGTAAATGCTTGGGTGTTCAGGGGAGGGGTGGGATTAAATTATAGGGAATTAAACACAAAATGGGAAGTGACACAGTTACTTTTTGCTGATGATACTGTGCTTATGGGAGATTCTAAAGAAAAATTGCAAAAGGTTAGTGGACAAATTTGGGAGTGTGTGTAAAGGTAGAAAGTTGAAAGTGAACATAGAAAAGAGTAAGGTGATGATGGTATTAAATGATTTAGATAAAGAAAAATTAGATATCAAATTGGGGAGGAGGAGTATGGAAGAAGTGAATGTTTTCAGATATTTGGGAGTTGATGTGTCAGCGGATGGATTTATGAAGGATGAGGTTAATCATAGAATTGATGAAGGAAAAAAGGTGAGTGGTGCATTGAGGTATATGTGGAGGCAAAAAATGTTATCTATGGAGGCAAAGAATGGAATGTATGAAAGTATAGTAGTACCAACACTCTTATATGGGTATGAAGCTTGGGTTGCAAATGCTGCAGCGAGGAGATGGTTGGAGGCAGTGGAGATGTCCTGTCTAAGGGCAATGTGTGGTGTAAATATTATGCAGAAAATTCGGAGTGTGGAAATTAGGAGAAGGTGTAGAGTTAATAAAAGTATTAGTCAGAGGGTTGAAGAGGGTTTGTTAAGGTGGTTTGGTCATTAAGAGAGAATGGATCAAAGTAGAATGACATGGAGTGCGTATAAATCTAGGGTAAGGAAGGCGGGGTAGGGGTCGTCCTCAAAAACGTTGGAGGGAGGGGGTAAAGGAGGTTTTGTGGGCGAGGGGTTTGGACTTCCAGCAAGCGTGCATGAGCATGTTAGATAGGAGTGAATGGAGATGAATGGTAGTTGGGACCTGACGAGCTGTTGGAGTGTGAGCAGGATAATATTTAGTGAAGGGATTCAGGGAAACCGGTTATTTTTATATAGCCGGACTTGAGTCCTGGAAATGGGAAGTAAAATGCCTGCACTCTAAAGGAGGGGTTTGGGATATTGGCAGTTTGGAGGGATATGTTGTGTATTTTTATACGTATATACTTTTAAGCTGTTGTATTCTGGGCACCTCTGCAAAAACAGTGATTATGTGTGAGTGAGGTGAAAGTGTTGAATGATGATGAAAGTATTTTCTTTTTGGGGATTTTCTTTCTTTTTGGGTCACCCTGCCTCGGTGGGAGGCGGCCGACTTGTTGAAAAAAAAAAAAACTTTACCTTTTACTTTAACCCTTAAACTGTCCAAACAGATCTACGTTCACATGCGTAGCGCTCCAAGAGTAGATCCACGTTTTTTTTTACATATTTTCAAATATAACAAAAAAAAAATGTAGATCAAAGCTTTTTTTAAACGCTTTCAAATGTAAAAAAGGAAAAAAAAGCTCTACTTTTTTTACATACTTTCAAATGCTGAAAAAACGTAGACCTATGTTTGGACAGTTTAAGGGTTAAGTTTCTTAATCCATCACTTTCTGCAGTACTGTAGATGCCATCCATGCTCATAGTGGCAGTTGTGAGATCAGTCAGGTCATCAGTACTGTGTAGTACTTTATGCACCATAAGAAATTTCACTTTATTGAATTACACTGATAACATACAGCAAATGTATACTGTATCACCGTACAGAATTACTGAATACTGTTTATGGTGCTCAGTAATACCCAACATGGAGAAACAAACTCAAAAAAGAATTCTTCCTCCGTAAGCCATGCATGTCGTAAGAGGCGACTAAAATGTCAGGAGCAAAGAGCTAGTAACCCCTTTTCCTGTATACATTATTAAATTTAGATCACCCTGCCTTGATTGGAGACAGCTGTCAAGTTGAAAAAAAAAATCAAATCCTCTTTAGCTGAAGAGGATCTCAGAAGGTGGTCGATTTTTTTTTAACATGTTGGGTGTCTCCCACTGAGGCAGGATGATCCCCCCCAAAAAAAGAAACACTTTCACCATCATTCACACTATCATTGTCTTTCCAGAGGCACACAGATACGACAGTTTAGATGTCTTTCTAAACAGCAAATACCCTAAACCCCTCCATTGAAAAAGCAATATACATTTCTTATACAGGACTGCATAAACATTAGAAATGTATGAAAAAATTTAATTGTCCAGATTCTACTTACTGTTTGTCATTCATCTACAAGATATGCAAACAGAGATGAGGCATAGAAAACTACATTTGAAGTTAATATTAATGATTTGTATGTGTAAAATTTAAAAATAGAAGACTATATTATGTTGCATCTCTTTTTCCTCTCCCTCCAGTCCATATCGAACCCGTGTACGGCCAGCAGTGGAACCAAATCGGGTGAAGGTGTCTGGGTCAGGCGTGTCGAGCAAGGGCATCCCTGCCTCACTTCCCACCGAGTTGCTCATAGACACCAACGATGCTGGCAATGGTGACCTTCATGTGTCAGTCACTGTAAGTACAATATATCACATTATTATGTATCATTATGTATTACAGTGATTATGTATGAGTTAGGTGAAAGTGTTGAATGATGATGAAAGTATTTTCTTTTTTGGGATTTTCTTTCTTTTCGGGTCACCCTGCCTCAGTGGGAGACGGCCGACTTGTTGAAAAAAAAAAAATCATAACTAAGTGCTACACCCACCGAGGCTAACAGTATATCATATTTGGTTAAAAACCAGTTACATACGTTAATCTTTCTAGTACACTGTCAACACTAGGTTTTTATTCCTACATCCTTTCTCAACTAGTCTTACTTCATGAGCCTTAGTGAGGTCTTAATCAGGTTTACTAGTGATGTCTTAATGAGGTGTTACTAGTGATGTCTTAATGAGTTGTTACTAGTGAGGTCTTAATGAGGTCTTGGTGAAATCTTACTCAGTGAGTCATTAGTGAGCTCATTATTAGTGAGTCATTAGTGAGGTTATTCTCAGTGAGTCATTAGTAAGGGAATATTCAATTTGCTATTTTAAATAGCTTTTTGGGTGAATCTCCTTAATTTATTAATTCTTGAGGTTTTCATTTAACTTAAAATGAAAATATTCTCTTCATGTGTAGCATATACAGGACTGTACTTCATGTATTTTGTCCTTTCAATATAAATTTAATATATTTTCTTGTTTATACGTCTGATATCATCTTCTATTTCATCAATGCTGATACATTTTTTATGCAATTTTTTATTTTAGGGACCAGATGGGCACCCACGTAAGGTGAAGGTAGTGGATAATGGAAATGGAACGTTCAGTGCTTCCTATGTGCCTGATGACTGTGGCAAGTACAAGGTGTCGGTCAAGTATGCCGACCAAGAGGTGGGACACTCACCATTCCCGGTCCAGGCGTATGCGACGGGCAAGGTTAGTTTCCTGAGGCTCTCTTTCCCTGATAAATGAACTCTTTGTAGTTGTAAAGCAAGTAGTGCATTGTTATTACAACATTATTATATTCATATACCTGTATAGTTTTGAACTGCAGTATTGGCATGCCTTTAGCAAGACAGTGATGGAATGAGTGATGATGAAAGTGTTTCTTCTTTTCTGGATCACCCTGCATTAGTTGGAAACAGTCAATGTGTTAAAAATGAAAAACCCGTACAGTTCATGGGAAAGTAGAAAAGAATCTTTCCTTCGTAAGTCATGCGTGCCATAAGAGGAGACTAAAATGATGGGAGCAATGGGCTAGTAATAGTCACCATGGCTGTTAAACATATTTATAGATGGGGTTGCAAAAGAAGTAAATGCTAGTGTGTTGGGGAGAGGGGTGGGATTAAATTATGCAGAATCAAATACAAAATGGGAGTTGATATTGTTGCTATTTGCTGATGATTTTGTGCTTGTTTGGAGACTCTAAAGAGAAGTTGCAAAGATTAGTGAATGCGCTTGGAAGGGTGTGCATGTATGAGTATGTTCGATAGGAGTGAGTGGAGGTGAATGGTTTTTGGGATTTGACGAGCTGTTGGAATGTGAGCAGGGTAATATTTGTGAAGGAATTCAGGAAAAACCAGTTAGCCAGACTTGAGTCCTGGAGGTGGGAAGTACAATGCCTGCACTTTAAAGGAGGGGGTGTGGGACATTTGCTGTTTAAGAGTGACATTGAATTGTCATATCTGTGCCTTTGCAAAGACAGTAATAGTGTGAAGAATGATGGTGAAATTTTGTTTTTTTGGGGGGGGCTACCTTGCCTCTGTGCATTGAAAGAAAAATTCCTGTACAGTGTAGATAATTAGGCCTATTAAAATTAATGTCAGTTGTTGATAATGTATGCATGCAGTTATGCATCACACATTTATGTAACACAAAATTTTTTTATTTTTTGTGTTTCTTATGGAGTATGCTTGTAAGTGTGGATGTTTGTGACTCACTCATTCCTAAACTGGGACCTCTTGTATACATTCTTTTATGCTTTTATTGCTTAATCGTCTTTTTTATTTTTAAACCCCCAGGCTGACAAATGCAAGATCACAGAAGGTATTAACCATTCACTCACAATAGGAGAAGAGTACTGTATCACAGTTAATGCCAAAAATGCTGGCAGTGGCGCCGTCACCTGCAGAATTCGCTCAACCTCTGGCAGGTAAACCTCTATGTTCTATTTTCTACAAAAATTCTAATGGCCTGTTATCCTGGGTATAAAGGGAGCAAAATAAACACAGCAGAAAAGTTTTGACTTATATTATCCTTCACCAATTTAGAACAGCAATATGTACACTATATACACTATGTACAGTGATAGGTATTAGTGCACTCCACGGTAAGCAAGCCAAACCCTAAACTCAGAGTGAGACATCTTCTTTTGCACGTACCATATATACTGTATACTGTAAGTTTCTTTGGTGTACCTTTTATTGAGTTTTACGGCAGAATGTTTGGAACTATAATATTATTCTAATATGTCTGGAATTCTCAAGTGAACATAAAAAAAGCTTGATTTTTGCACATGTTTCTTGATTTTATAGTGTTGCTATTACTACAGAACTTTTATATACTGTATATATACATATACCTGTGTAGTGAATATGTTCTTTTTTCATATCCCCAGTGACTTGGATATTGATATTGAGGATAATGGTGATGGAACCTTCAGTATCTACTACACAGTGAAGGATGCTGGTGAATACACACTCTCTGTAAAGTTTGGCGGCCAACCTGTTCCTGACGGATTTTACTCTTTCACCGTGAGTACTCACTTATTGCACACTTTATTTTTAAATCACTTCATTTTATAGTGTCAGTAGCAAGTGCAGGATCTCAGCAGAATGTAATAATTGCACTGTTATTGGGGGTAAGGCAGCCGGGATTGATGGGATAAAGATAGAAATGTTAAAAGCAGGTGGGGATATAGTTTTGGAGTGGTTGGTGCAATTATTTAATAAATGTATGGAAGAGGGTAAGGTACCTAGGGATTGGCAGAGAGCATGCATAGTTCCTTTGTATAAAGGCAAAGGGGATAAAAGAGAGTGCAAAAATTATAGGGGGATAAGTCTGTTGAGTGTACCTGGTAAAGTGTATGGTAGAGTTATAATTGAAAGAATTAAGAGTAAGACGGAGAATAGGATAGCAGATGAACAAGGAGGCTTTAGGAAAGGTAGGGGGTGTGTGGACCAGGTGTTTACAGTGAAACATATAAGTGAACAGTATTTAGATAAGGCTAAAGAGGTCTTTGTGGCATTTATGGATTTGGAAAAGGCGTATGACAGGGTGGATAGGGGGGCAATGTGGCAGATGTTGCAAGTGTATGGTGTAGGAGGTAGGTTACTGAAAGCAGTGAAGAGTTTTTACGAGGATAGTGAGGCTCAAGTTAGAGTATGTAGGAAAGAGGGGAATTTTTTCCCAGTAAAAGTAGGCCTTAGACAAGGATGTGTGATGTCACCGTGGTTGTTTAATATATTTATAGATGGGGTTGTAAGAGAAGTAAATGCGAGGGTCTTGGCAAGAGGCGTGGAGTTAAAAGATAAAGAATCACACACAAAGTGGGAGTTGTCACAGCTGCTCTTTGCTGATGACACTGTGCTCTTGGGAGATTCTGAAGAGAAGTTGCAGAGATTGGTGGATGAATTTGGTAGGGTGTGCAAAGAAGAAAATTAAAGGTGAATACAGGAAAGAGTAAGGTTATGAGGATAACAAAAAGATTAGGTGATGAAAGATTGAATATCAGATTGGAGGGAGAGAGTATGGAGGAGGTGAACGTATTCAGATATTTGGGAGTGGACGTGTCAGCGGATGGGTCTATGAAAGATGAGGTGAATCATAGAATTGATGAGGGAAAAAGAGTGAGTGGTGCACTTAGGAGTCTGTGGAGACAAAGAACTTTGTCCTTGGAGGCAAAGAGGGGAATGTATGAGAGTATAGTTTTACCAACGCTCTTATATGGGTGTGAAGCGTGGGTGATGAATGTTGCAGCGAGGAGAAGGCTGGAGGCAGTGGAGATGTCATGTCTGAGGGCAATGTGTGGTGTGAATATAATGCAGAGAATTCGTAGTTTGGAAGTTAGGAGGAGGTGCGGGATTACCAAAACTGTTGTCCAGAGGGCTGAGGAAGGGTTGTTGAGGTGGTTCGGACATGTAGAGAGAATGGAGGGAAACAGAATGACTTCAAGAGTGTATCAGTCTGTAGTGGAAGGAAGGCGGGGTAGGGGTCGGCCTAGGAAGGGTTGGAGGGAGGGGGTAAAGGAGGTTTTGTGTGCGAGGGGCTTGGACTTCCAGCAGGCATGCGTGAGCGTGTTTGATAGGAGTGAATGGAGACAAATGGTTTTTAATACTTGACGTGCTGTTGGAGTGTGAGCAAAGTAACATTTATGAAGGGATTCAGGGAAACCGGCAGGCCGGACTTGAGTCCTGGAGATGGGAAGTACAGTGCCTGCACTCTGAAGGAGGGGTGTTAATGTTGCAGTTTAAAAACTGTAGTGTAAAGCACCCTTCTGGCAAGACAGTGATGGAGTGAATGATGGTGAAAGTTTTTCTTTTTCGGGCCACCCTGCCTTGGTGGGAATCGGCCGGTGTGATAATAAAAAAATAAAATTATCTCCTCAATATAGTGCAATTTGAAATCCAATTGAAAAAAGTGCATCCCAAACAAATAACCCACATGTAAGAGGAGGAAACTTATGGCGATGTTTCAGTCTGACTTGGACCGTTAGTTAATGGTCCAAGTCGGACCAAAACGTCATCATAAGTTTTTTCTCCTATGTGCGGATTATTGTGCCTTTTTGTTCTTTACATCCAAAATTGAGTAGAATGTAAAAAAAAATTAATCGTATGTGCTGTTCAATTCTGAATGCACTTTTTCAGTTTATTACATTATATAGAAGAGCTTTTTAAGAAAACTTACTGTATTTCCAACCTTGTAAACTTTTTAAACTTGCTATGTATAGCATGATGTTCTGTCATCTTCCAGCATCATTATTATGCTATGTATAGCATGATCATCTGTCATCCCCAGCATCATTATCATACTGCTACATGATGATGCTCCAGTAGTCTGAAACACAGTGTTTCTGTCATCCTCCAGCATCATTATCATGCTGCTACATGATGATGCTCCAGTAGTCTGAAACACAATGTTTCTGTCATCCTCCAGCATCATTATCATGCTGCTACATGATGATGCTCCAGTAGTCTGAAACACAATGTTTCTGTCATCCTCCAGCATCATTATCATGCTGCTACATGATGATGCTCCAGTAGTCTGAAACACAATGTTTCTGTCATCATCCAGCACCATTATCATGCTGCTACATGATGATGCTCTAGTAGTCTGAAACACAATGTTTCTGTCATCATCCAGCACCATTATCATGCTGCTACATGATGATGCTCTAGTAGTCTGAAACACAATGTTTCTGTCATCATCCAGCATCATTATCATGCTGCTACATGATGATGCTCCAGTAGTCTGAAACACAATGTTTCTGTCATCATCCAGCATCATTATCATGCTGCTACATGATGATGCTCTAGTAGTCTGAAACACAATGTTTCTGTCATCCTCCAGCATCATTATCATGCTGCTGCATGATGATGCTCCAGTAGTCTGAAACATGATGTGTATGGAAAATTAGTTTTTAAGATGATTTAATGTTTTAACACAACTTGAATGCTATGTATGTGAAGGTGTCATACAGCATCTGTGGTGACTTTGAGGTAAGTGGAAAGCTACCTGACTGTGTTACGTGTGTTGTTGATTATTATCTTTTGTCACAAATGTTGGCACTCCAATAAATATTTGTAAATGTGTCCAGGTTACTGCTGTTCTAATTAATTATAGTCTGTGTATCTTTTGAAAGAAAAGTGCATTGTTCAGGCTTAAGGTTTAGTTACATCAGATATTGTGAGATGTGTATGTGTGTGTGTGTTATGGAAAGAAGAGGAAATGCTCCCTGTGTATCCAAACCAAGTTATGAGGAGAGATATCTCTTGTCTCCCCACCAAATTTGTAAGCAGGGAGGTGTTGCAGTAAGAGGGAAACACATTCCTTGTTTCCCAAGCAAAGGTATAAGGAGATATGTGTGTTTTACAGTAAGATTTAAACATTCCTTGTCTCCCCAGCTAGGGTGTAAGGATAGATTTGTGTTATAATAAGATTTAGTCATTCCTTGTCTCCCTGGCAAAGGTGTAGGGAGAGGTGTTGTGTTGCAGTAAGAGGGACACATTCCTGGTCTCCCCAGCACAGGTGTAAGGAGAGATGTGTACGTCAGAGTAAGAGGGGGAGACATTACTCATCTCCTCAGCGAAGGTTTGGGAAGAAATGTTTGTTATGGTAAGAGGAAGGCATTTCCATGTATCCTCAGCCAAGTTGGTGGAAGAGATGTGCATTATGGAAGGAGGGAGACATATCCTATGTACCCAGTTACTAAGAGAGTAATCTGGTACACCAACCAAGTTGTGGGGAGGTGTATGTGTTATATAAAAATTGAGAGACATTCTGTGTCATTGATAATTAAAAAAATATGAGATGAGATGCTTTTTAAGTAGAGCCCTAAATTGGTTTGCAGGCAGGGAACCTTTTGGTGGTTCAGGCAATGAATTCCAGGTCCTTGGGCTCTTTATGTGCATTGCATTTTTGCATAGGGTGAAATGGACAGGAGGGATGTTGAAGAGTGTTTTGTGCCTTCTGTTGTGCCTGTGTGTTCTGTTGTAGTTGTCAAGAAGTTTGAGAGGAGGGTTTATATTGGAATATAATGTTCTGTATATATAATAAGCACAATAATATGAGTGAATATTTTGTATATTAAGTAAGTTCAAGCTCTTGAAGAATGGTGGAGTGTGTTGCCTGGCGTAGGAGTTGGTAATCAACCGCACAGCAGCTTTTTGTTAGGTTATTAATGGTTTAAGATGATTGGCCATGGTTGAACCCCAAGTACAAATACCATAGGTGAGGTGAGGGTATTTGTGGTATAGCACAAGGAGTGCAGTTTGGGGTACATAGTAGTACTGCATCTTGGAAAGGATGCCTACTGTTTTGGAGACTTTCTTGGATATACGTATGCTGGATGTGGGTCTGAAATTTCAGATTGTAGTCAAGGTGAAGACCTAGAAATTTGCCCTCAGTGTGTCTTGGAATGGGGGAACCATTTATCAATATGTTTAGCTGGACATTTGAAGATCTGTTTCCAGACAGCATGAAGTAGTTTTTGTCTATATTGAGAATGAGTTTGTTCTTCATCATCCATGTATAGATATTTTAACATAAGAACATAAGAAAGAAGGAACACTGCAGCAGGTCTACTGGCCCATGCAAGATAGGTCCAAGTCTCCTACCAGCTTAAGCCAATGACCCAACGTAGTCAGACCAGGTCACATTCATTTAAGGAAGGAACACAGCATCAGACCTAGTAGCACAAGCTAGTCAGGTCCAATTCATACCCACTCATGTATTTATCTAACATATTTTTAAAACTACACAATGTTTTAGCTTCTATGATGATGCTCGGGTGTTTGTTCCAATCTTCCGCAACTCTATTACCAAACCAGTGCTTTCCTATATCTTTCCTGAATCTGAATTTTTCCAACTTAAAACCATTGCTGCAAATCCTGTCTTGGCTAGATATTTTTAGCATGCTATTTACATCCCTTTTATTTATTTTTGTTTTCCATTGATACACCTGAATCATATCTCCCCTAATTCTATGCCTTTCTAGAGAATGCAGATTCAGGGCCTTCAGTCTGTCCTCATAGGG